GAATATTTTTGTAATTTTTTGATAAAAAAACTTCCTCTTGAAAACTACCAGTTCAATTGCTTAGTATGTACCTTGGGTGGACGTCTATCATATTGTTCATTTCATTATGTCATTTTTGATAAAAAAATGATATTTTCAACTTCTTTGTTGAAAACTGTCAGCCCGATTACTTTGATAATGTTACATGTAGGTACTGTAAAATACTTTAAAATCTTGTGAATATACATTTTTGTTAGCTCCGCTGTTGACTTTGTTGAGCGGAGCTTATCATATGAGTGATTGTTTGTCGTCTGTTGTTGTCCGTGTCAATGTTTTACTTTTTCGACTTCTTGAAAACTACATGCCTAAATCTTTGATACTTGGTGTATATGTACCTTAGGTAGGCCTCTCTCAGATTTGTTCATTTCATGATGATATCTTCAATTCTCTTATTTTGGTGAATATTTTTGTCATTGTCATTGTCACTTCTTGTTGAAAACCGCAAGTATGATTATTTGATACTATAAATATTTTACAGTACCTTGAAATGACCTTTATCTGATTTGTTCATTTTGTGAAGATATCATTATTTCCCCAATTTAGCTAATAAATTTGTCAATTTTGGTGACAATGTAATTTTTGACTTATTTTTCAAAACTTAGCTTTGATACTTGAATATATGTGTACCTTGGATGGACCTCTATTAGATTAGTTTCTTCTGTGACATTAAGGGGACCTCTACTAATTCACAGACATTCTTTCAATCAGAGTTGATAAATCCACTACTATTAAATTGATCCTTACAGTGATACGATAAACATATGTATTGAAATATGTATATAGAAACAAAGACAATGTCATTAATATTTAATGCAAGGTTCTGCTAAAACAGCAGAGATATTTGACCGTAAATTCACTTGTTTCATATTATGTTATGGCATTAAGTTATTTATGGAAGATGTCATTTACGTTTTTTTCTTTATAATGCAGTAGCAACAAAGTCGTCCTACAATGATGAATATGATGATAAAATTGTTGCAGTAAAACCTAAAGATTTACAGGCAGAAACTGAAGTTAAGGTAAATCACGTACTAGTCTGGGGGATTTGGAGGAATATGTGATGAGGTGAGAGGGACAACACGAAAGTGATGAATGTAGAGCATGCATTCAGACGAGATAGAGAGAGAGGTGGAATGAACTAACTTGAAACTGATTTAACATATGTATCACAACTGGTATACAAAAAAAGTTGTTCAATGCAGTGCACACTGTATATTTCAAAACATTAGTGTCCTTGCTGAGAATGAAAACCACATCATTCTAACAGAGCAGAGATCAGAAACCAACATGCATAATCAAAACTAGAAATAATAAATTAAGCCACAACTGTTTGTGCACAGTGGCATGTCTGATCAGTACCCAAAACCACATTATTGACTGTCTTGTCAAAAATATCAAAGTGTGAGCAAGATAGTGAGTGGCTTTCAAAAGCAATCATAGGACTATTTCGATAATGCATCAGATAGCTGTCAATACACTTCATTTGAATACTGAACAGACCATTCAACCAGTGGCCATGATTTTCGAGATAGCGTCTCCTATGTCAGAGAAAAAACAGAAATAAAAAAACTGTTCAACTATAACTGAAACCTTTTATTAAGAGAAAACTGTGATATATATTTATGGATTGACGTCTGTGTTTAATCAGTCCATTTTTACCTTTATATCTGAGATGCCTGGGCTGATCACATATACCCGGTACTTCAAACATACGTCATACTTCTTAAGATACATGTGCATGCCAATTAGTTTTGTGATCCAAGATGGTCGAATGGCAACCATTTTAATATTAAAAATTAAAATTCCACATTTCATCCATTTCAGAACCAGATCTTAGTTAAACATGGACAGATTTTGTTCATCTTGGTACATATATTGAATATGTATATAACATGACCATAATGTTTTTTTCAGATTGGATTCAAAATAACGAAATACAAATGCTGTTCTAGAATCATGTCTCTGATGTACATTGACTGATCACAATCAACTCTATGACTACATTATACATCATGTCATTTGTTTCATGTTCTGATTGAAGATGGCTGACGCATTGCAGTTTTGTTTACTATTGAACTAACAGAAACTTTTTCATGTTATGACATGACTTTTTTTAATTTTCTAAATACATGTCATCTCATTTATTGACAGACCATTGATACACCACTACTACATCAAGTTGTTATGTATGATGATATTGAGTTGGTGGAAGATTTACTCAGTTCTGGAATAAATATAAATGATGTGTCAGTGGTGAGTGCATTTAGCAAAATTAACAATTAATATGATAGTATTGAATACTGAGCACCAGCTATATCTAAAACTTGAATTAGCTTTAGTTATGTTTCATTTTTTAGCTCCGCTGTCGACGAAGTTGAGCGGAGCTTATAGTATTACTGATGGTCGCCATCGCCGTCGTCAACTTTACATTTTCGACTTCTTCATAAAAACCTCAAACTGTATAGCTGTGACACTTTATAGGAAAGTACCTTGGGTGCTCCTCTCTCAGATTTGTTCATTTCGTGTGGATATGTTCAATTGTTATATTTATAGCGAATATTTTTGTCATTTTTGGTCAAAAATGCTATTTTCGACTTCATCTTGATAACCGCTAGCCCAAATGCTTTGATACTTGGTATGTAGGTACCTTGGGTACCTTTTGTCATTTTTGGTAAAAAATTATATTTTCGACTTCTTCATGAACGTGCTTGTCCAGTTGCTAGAATTAAATATTCTGCACTGTGGCTATACC